GCTCAGGTCATGATCTCAGGGCAGTGAGAACAAGCCCCACGTAGGGCTCTGTGCACAGCATGGAGTCTGCGTAGGATTCTCTCCTTCTCCCTCTGCAACCACCCTCATCTCTACAATAAATATATAAATCTTTAAAAAAAATTTTTAAAAACAAAATTGTGTTCTTGAGAGATTTAAAGCAACAATCCAATTTTATTATGTCTACTACCCACGTTTGTGCATGTAGAGTTCATATTGTTGCACTGAATGAGAAAAGCTACCTTTTTTAAATAAGAAAAGTTTACCTTTCTGTTGGTGACTACCAAGGGGAAAACACAATATTATCAAGCTATTTCTTCTCTACTCTACTCAGCGCCTGTCAAATTTGGAAACAAAACTTTGAAAGTCTCACACTTCCAAAACGAGTCCCTGTGGTAAATAGAAGCTTAGCCCTATGCACATGATAGTGCTTTTAAAAAGCCTTTAAACACAGGTAACAATGTGTCTTAGAGACTGGAACTATTGATTTATAAAGTTAAGTGTGAATAAAATCTAAAGATAAATAGTGTATCATTAAAAAGTGAAATAATATTATTTTGATTCATACTTGACAATTTTTGAAAGAATGTTAAGCTCTTACATAAATACATGGCTTCCCCAGCTGTTCAAATAGTATGATTAATTAAATGGATTCTGTCTGAAAACCAACACTGGCTCTTGTTCTCAAGTTGCAAATATGTCCAATGTAAAGGGAAATGGAAAAGTATTTCTCTGGTATCTACTGCATTTGAGGTAAAGAATTAATGTTGTTAAAATACCAAAGTGTTCCTTATTATGCATTTGTGGTGCATGCAAGTGTATGTGTGTGTGTACGTGATACTTTTTTTTAATGGCAGGAAACTTCACCTATAATGAACTTAGCTATTTGACAATCTCATCCATCCAGAATAAAGCCAAGAATCTGTTAAAAGTCAACAAAGGAGACCACTTAGAAGTCCAGATAGAGGTGATCAAAGCCCACTCATACATCTCTTGATTTAAATATAGAAAGAAAAAAGTCATAGACCTTCAATTAGAATACTACTATTTTTATTTTAGTATAATTTAAATAATTTGCCTGGAGGGTACAAAGCATGAAGAGATTGCTGAGGCAGATTGCAGTGGTTGACTGGGGCCGGAGAGTGGAAAGGCTTAAACCAGAACACACTGGGGAGTCAATAAAAGTTCAGACTAGGAGAGAGACATTATCGTACATGTTCTTTAGGAAAATTAATCTAAGTGTAGGAATATATTACGGAGGCTGGAAATCAAAGGCAGTTATTGGACTATTGCTTTAGTCCAGAGATTATGGCCTTAGTCCAGATGAGTAGTAATAAGATCCTGAACAAGGGTACAGAGAGAAAAGTAAAGTCTTAAGAAATTTCATGAAATAGAATAAAAAGGACTTAGGAATTGTTCAGGTTGGGAGACACAGAAGAGAGAAAAATCAAAGGTGTTTTTAAAAATTCAAGTCTGTGGAACACCTGAGTGGCTCAGTCAGTTAAGCATCTGCCTTTGGCTCAGGTCATGATCCCAAGGTCCTGGGATTGAATCCTGCATGGGGCTCCTTGTTCCATGGGGAGCCTGCTTCTCCCCCTGCTTGTGCTCTCTCTCAATCTCTCTTTGGCAAATAAATAAATAAAATCTTTAAAAAATGTGATAGAGAAATGGTGCTATGGGCAGAATTTAAAAACACAGGAAGAAGAATAATAAGTTTGGGGGGAGGTAGAGGAAATAGTGAACTCAAGTCTGCAATTTGAGGCACCAGTAGAATATCCAAGAAGAGATGTCTAACAGCAGCTGCAAATGCGCATCATACCATCTCTGGCACCAGCCATAAAACAAAAGCCACAACAGCTAATGTTTCCTGAGTTCTTCCTAGGTGTGAAGCACGCTCCAACATGTTTCATGTGTTTAATATTCACAAATTTTGCATGACGTAAGTACTATTTTAAATTCGTTTAAAATTTTTATTTTAATTAATTTATAATGTGTAAAACTAATTTCATAATCATTGCAAAAATGAAAACCATAGATATGTGTGAGAAGTCAAAAGAAAGAATAAGAGGTGTTAAGTGAATCACAGGTGTTTTTCTTCCTAAATAATGTTTAGAGAAAACTAGAAACAATATCCAAAAAAGATACTTCCTTCAAGAGGGAAGGAAAAGCTGCATTAGAAAAGGAGAAAACATCAGAACTACAATAAGTAGAAAAAAAGAATTCAAACAAATACTACCCCCACCAATAAAACAAAAACTACAGCAATCTTGGCCTCTTTAGGAGAGAAATGGTCTTTCCTCATTTACTAAGATCTGGAGTTCTCATTCTACAAAAGCCCAGTGGATAATTGATGTTAAAATGATTCCAGAAAAAAGTTAAATGATATTTCATGTACTCCTTTAGGGAGGCAGAAAAATTTCATTCCAATAATGGATAAAATCAGAGATCTTTTCCACGATGGATTAAATTGTAATGTAATCAACAAAGTCAGCATGATTACATGAATTATTCCATGATGGTCCCACACTGCTGAGTTTCATGTTATGTTTCGAACAAGTGAGGTGTGAGACCTTTCTTCCCAGGCAAGCAGGGACTGGGCCCAAGTTGAAATTCTACGAGCAGGGACTGGTATTGGAGTGGGTGTGGTTTTTCTGCACTTTGAGGGCTCTAATTAAAGGGGAATTAGAATCAAAGTCTGAGATGAGCGCTGGGGTGGGCCCAGGATGTAAGGGAAGTTCCAAAACATCTAGTCCAAGGGTAATGAATGAAAAAACAAAAACTAGATTTAAAGCAATGAATCACATCAGAGAACTGCAGGCAAAATGAAGTTTAACAGGGTTTGAGAGCAGGGACCAGAAGGATTCCCAGGAACAATGGAGTATAGAAGGTAGAAGACTTTTCTAGGGTAGCCAGGATCAAGCATAAAGATGAGGAAGGAACAATGGGGGGCTCAATTCCTTAAGCAAGGACATTAAAATCTCATGAATATAAGAAAATAAAAGAATTTGAAGAATTGGCAAAGAATGTGTGGAAATATCTGGAAGTCAGGAAGCACAATGATAAATATCTATCTAGCTCATGTATATAGCTCATATATACATATATATTTTATATATATTTTAAATATGCTTTAAATTATATTAAGATTTTATATTATCTATATCTATGTCTATATCTATCTATATGCTAGCCACTGTCCAATTCTTACTTCCACTAGTGATCAAACAGGAGAGAAAGTAACTTAACTCCAAGTGAGAAAAAAAATTTTTCTTATTAATTATTTTTATTACCACATAATGTATTATTTGCCCCAGGGGTAGTTTTGTGAATTGTCAGGCTTACACACTTCACAGCACTCACCATATCACATCCCTCCCCAGTGTCCATTACCCAGCATCCTCTCCACATACTCCCTTTCCCCGCAACACTCAGCAAGTGAGGAAAATTTTGTTAGTTTTTAAATTGCCTTTTAAATTGCTTGCCAGTATGTATTATTCTGCCCTTTGCATACAAGTATACAAAAAATGTGATGAGTTTGCAAAACTCGACAATAAAAAATAATTCAATAAAAGTGGAGGCAAATGGATTGAGCTAATTTGCAGATATGCAGATAGCACAAAAGTACATGAAATAGGCTTAACATTATTAGTCATTAGGGAAATGCAAAATAAAATAACAATGAGTTTCCGTTACATACCTGTTAGAATGACCAAAATAAAAATACTGAAAATAGGGCACCTGGGTGCTTCAGTCAGTTAAGCATCTGCCTTCAGCTCGGGTCATGATCCCAGGGTCTTGCAATTGTGTCCAGCTTTGGGCTTCCTGCTCAGCGGGAAGCCTGTTTTTTCCTCCCCTTCTGGCTGCTGCTCCCTCTGCCTGTGCTCTCTATCCGTGAAATAAATAAATAGACTATTTTAAAAATACTGAAAATAGCAAGTGCTGACAAGGAGTTTGAGCAACTGAAAGTCTCGAGTATTGCTGGTGGGATTGCAAGATGGTATAGTCACTCTGTTAATTTCTTACAAGTTAAAATCACTTAGCAATCCCATTGCTAGCTATTTATCCCAAAGAAATAAAAATTTATTTTCAAACAGAAACTTCCACACAAGTGCCTAAATTATCATTATTCAAAATCACCCCAAATGGGAAACAATCTCAAAATACTTGAATGTGTGCTAAATTCATGCAGTGGGGTACTACTCGGCAACAATAAGTAACATCCTACTGATACATACAACATGAATGAATCTTAAATGTGTTAAGCTAATTGAAAGAAACCAGTGTTGAATACTATATTGAATTCCTTATTGAATACTTTATGATTTCATCTATGTGATACTCTGATAAAAGCAAAACTATAGGTTCAGAGACCAGATCAGTAATTGCTAGGGTTTGGTAGGCATGGAATTAGGACTACTGAGGGACAGTACTAGGAAATACTTCAGGATGTTAGAATTATGCTGAGTTCATTTGTGTGCTGGTTTCTATGTATGTACTGAAGTCCATAGAATTTTAAACAAACAAACAAAAAAATTTTACTGCGAGTAAAACTTTTAAAATCAGATAAATTTAAAATGGCAATAACCATTTATAGCTTCCAATTTTGTAAGTCGGGAATTTGGCAGGGTTCAGCTAGGATGATCCTTTTGCTCTATACAGTGCCAGGCATGGGGCTGAAGAACCCAAGACAGTCTGAGTCTGTCTGGCTATCAACAAAGATATCTTGGTTTTTCTGGCTATCAACGAAGATATCTTGGTTTTTCTTTGCAGGGCATCTCTTTTTACATATTCTTATTCTCCAGGAGATCTCTCTCTGCATATGCCTTCTTTCTTCAGCAAGAAACTTGAACCTCTTTACATAGCAACATGATTCTAAAAACAAAATTGGAGGCTATGACACCACTTAAGACCTGGTTTCAGAAGTTCCAGAATATTGGGTCCATTGCATTGTATTAGTACAGTCTAGTCCAGATTTAGAGGAGAAAAAAATGGCCTCCACCACTTGATGGGAGGAGCAGCAAAGTCTAATTACAAAAGGGCATGGACACGAGGAGGTATGATTTATGGGAGGGGAGAGTCGTGGGAGGACTATGAATATTTTAAGCAGAAGGAACAGCATATGTAAAGGCTCTGAAAAAGCTAAAATCCGAGGAAACTAAAAGGTCACTGGCTGATGATGAATGAAAAGAAGTTTCAAGAGGAATGAGGCTGGAGGAAAAAGTAGAACAAGGTCATATGGGACATGAAGTCTACTGTTAAGTGAGTTTGATTTATTCTAATTACAGTGGGAAGCCAATGAAGGACTTCAAGCAGGAAAGATCTGATATGATTTGTCTTTTCCAAATGTGTCTATTGACTCCTGTGTGAATTCCAATATTCATTCATTAGCCACCTAAATTGAAACACTATTCAAAGTTACTTCAAATGTGGAATATGAATTTTAAAACACATTGCATTATAATTTAATGTGAAAAATTCAAATCACATGTCTTATTTACATTTATTTAATGCACATTTTAGGGACCAATGTATGTTAGTCATTCTGGTTTAAAAGGCAAATGAACAGAGTAATTGCTAGATATAATCTTTTGGAGACTAGTGGGACCAAGGAAAAAATTTGAATGTCCTTGAGTAATGTGAGCTTCCCCCCACCCCCACAAGTCAAGTTTCCAAACCATTTACAACACTATTGATTGCCTTGAAAACTGGAACCAGAACAAGTCTACCTTCTGAGATGGGGTAGTGATAAGCCATAAAAGATTTGCTGTGTGGGGCTGTACTTTTACCTTTAAGTGCATACATAGGGAAGAGATTGAAGAAGGATGACAGATGAAATACAGACATACCAGGTTCTCAGCAGGTTGGCTCTGTGTGAATGGCCATGTGTAATCTGTGTGGGTACAAAAGTAGGAATAAATATATGAGAGGAAAGTATGTAATTAATGAGAATCATGCCTGAGAATGTGTTACATAAATCCTCTTTAAGAAATCAAAATCAGGGGCACCTGGGTGGCTCAGTGGGTTAGGCCTCTGCCTTCGGCTCAGGTCATGGTCTCAGGGTCCTGGGATCGAGCCCCACATCGGGCTCTCTGCTCAGTGGGGAGCCTGCTTCCCTTCCTCTCTCTCTCTGCCAGCCTCTCTGCCTACTTGTGATCTCTGTCTGTCAAATAACTAAATAAAATCTTAAAAAAAAAAAAAAAGGAATCAAAATCAGCATAGTTTGCTAAGCATTTATTGTGTGCTGAGCATTGTCATAAACTCTGAAGCATAGAAAAGAAATATTAGTATACTGTGATAGAGAAGAAATATAGAGTAGGGAGTCAGGAGATGGGAGATGTCTGCTGTTAACTTGGTATGGAAAATTGAGCAAGTTACTTGTCCTCAGTGGCTGTCTGCTTTCTGCTCATACAGATTGCTTCCAGCTATGATACTCCATAAGCCTTTCATTCCATAAGAGATACTCCTACTATTGAGTTTACAACCAGCAATTGTTGAGAAGCAAGACTTGGGGGCACCTGGGTGGCTCAGTGGGTTAAGCCGCTGCCTTCGGCTCAGGTCATGATCTCAGGGTCCTGGGATCGAGCCCCACATCGGGCTCTCTGCTCAGCAGGGAGCCTGCTTCCCTCTTTCTCTCTCTCTCTGCCTGCCTCTCTGCCTACTTGTGATCTGTCTCTGTCAAATAAATAAATAAAATCTTAAAAAAAAAAAAGACTTAGACCAATGAAACTGAGGGAATAGATTTTAATTCACTTCAATTCTACTAATGTTTATTATAAGAGGGTGGATTAAAATATTCAGAGGCTCACTTTTAGTCTTACTTTTATTGACTGAACTAGTAGGATGGTTGTACGTTCATTACAAATTAAAACTGCAAATTCCATTTTTAAAAAGATCTTTTTTGGTGATGGTATGGCTAGGGAAAAGGATCTTTGTATGGCAATTGTGATAGAATTCTGCCTGCAGATACCATTACCACATTACCCTTTTAGGGGAAAGTAAGCTTGAAACATTTTGCTTATTTAGAGGATGACTGCTTACTAAAGATGAATGAAATGCAATGAGAAGTTGAGTAAAGAAGAAAATCAATTAACATCTCTCCTCCGCTATAACCGTCATCAGAACCTTCAGGGTAAAAATACAGAAATTCTCTTATTTCTGTGCTTATTGTCTCACATTTTTCACAGCTTCTCTTGTAGCCACAATAGAATATGAAGTGGTATATGTTTCAAATCTCCTTTGAATGTTTTTTTCAATGGCTGGTAGATTTCCTTGTTTATCCTATTTTGCAATTTGTACCTGCTCTTACTGCAGCCCCAGTGGCCCTGGTGCTAACTTCAGGTTTGCAAATGTTCTTTCCATACTTGTGAATAAAGACATGAAGATGGAGTTCACCAGCCAACCGAAATTTAAGTATATTAACTATGTCCTTGGAAAAATGTAAAGAATTGGCTAAGTGTAATGAATAAGACAGACATGATGGTTGCCCTTACAGATCTTACAGTCTAATGAGGAAGACAAAGAAAAGTAATTATGAGTATGATGAGTGTAACAAAAACAAAGAACTAAGATTTGTTCAATAGAAGGACCTAGAATTAATTGATCATGATCTGAGGACGATGAAAAAACCAGTCACATTGGAGTAGAGACCTGTCATCTAATAAAGAATTTGGTCCCTGGAAGGTAACCTCTAAATCCTTGGAATTTCCTGAGGGATGAGTGCCTTTGTTATTTGTAGTGGAACCCAGTTCTATGCCTGAGTTTATGCTAAGGAGATGACTCAAGGTAGGGCTAGCTAATCTGGGAGGACCAACCATGTGATTAGAGAGCCCTGAGGCTTGACACATGTGGTATCAGCCTGACCTTTGGGGAGGGGAGGAGTACTGGAAATTGAACCCAATCACATGGCTAATGATTCAGTCAGTGGTATCTATACAATGAAACCCCAACAAAAGCTATGGACACCTGGGGCTTGAGTAAGCTTCCTCGAAGTAACACATCGATGTGCTGGGAGGGTGACAGGTCCTGAGGAAATGGAAGCTTTGCATTTGGGATCCTCCTAGACCCTATCCTATGTGTCTTTTCAGTTGGTTGGTACTAATTTGCATCTTATAGGTGAAACCATAATCATAAGTCTAGTCCTTTCCTAAGTTCTATGAGTCATACTAGTGAATTATTAAACCTGAGAGGGTAGTGGGAACACCCAAGCTTGTAGGCAGTTGGTCAGAAGTGCAGGTAGCCTGAGAACTCCAGAGTTTATGACTAGAAATGGGAGGAGTCTTATAGAGGACTGTGCCCTCCACCTGTGAAATTTGACCTATCTCTGGGTAGTTAGTGTCAGAATTGCATTATAAGAGCAATAATGGGAAACGCAATTGGATTGACAAAATTGAGGCAGATTATGGAAGATTTAGATATCAGGCATAGATATTAGACTTGGAAAGTGAAGATGATATGATAAAATAACAAAAGCTTAGATTTATTAAGTGCTTGCAATGCATCAGGAACACTTGTAAACATTTTTAGGTATCTTCTCATTACATTTTACCTCCTTCTATCCTATGATGTGGGAAGCATTGTTAATTATTTCATAGATGAGTACTAAAAAACAGAACAGAACCATGAAAATAACAACAAACACTGGACTCTGCTAATCTGAGAGTTGTCATGCATGTGCTGTTGACCTCAGAAAAACCATAACTTCACATGAACTCAGTATCCTTATCAGCCCTTCCACCTCTAGGATTTTAATATTCCAGATGGTGCTGTCTGAAAAATTACAGATTATTTAAGTAGTCTCTAGGAAAAACTTTAATCTTGGACCTCATTTGTATTTTCAATAAATAGTTAATTAAAACTTTTTTTTCCCCAAGATGTTATTTATTTGAGAGAGAGAGATGAGAGAATGAGTGGGAGGAGGACCAGAGGGGAGAAGCAGACTCTCTGTGGAGCAGGGAGCTGGATGTGGGACTTGATCCCAGATCCCTGGGATCATGTCCTGAGCCAAAGACAGATGCTTAACTGACAGAGCAACCCAGGCACCCTTCATTGAGTATTTACTGAACATTTGCCATGTGCCATATACTAGGCAATGTGTAGGAGATACAGAGATAAGCAAAATGGGTATGGTTCCTTCCCTCTAAGAGCTAATAGTCATTCCCTCAATACTTGTAGTATTAGGTAAATTCCCTTTTTATTTCAAATGAGGTTACTTTTAAATGAGCAATAGGAAGGAAAGTAGATGCATTAAAAGAAAGGCAGCATATCCCATGGAGGTAAAGGAGATTGGGAATGAGCTTTGCCTTGCTGTTAAGAAAATGGAAGTTTGAATGGAAATGGAATGTTATGGATGGACAGTGGGCATGTGAGAGATTTTTTTTTTAATTTAATTTGATTTTTTTTCAGTGTTCCAAGATTCATTGTTTATGTACCACACCCAGTGCTCCATGCAATACGTGCCCTCCTTAATACCCACCACCAGTCTCACCCAACCCCACACCCTCCTCACCTCCAAAACCCTCAGTTTGTTTCTCAGAGTTCACAGTCATGAGAAATCATTTTTAACATTAGATAGTGATCTTGGGGAGCACACCCCAACAGTAGTGTGTGGGTGTGGATTTTGTACATGAGTGACAAAGGAAGCATGGCATTATTCTCTCTATATATTTACTCTCACCCGACTATATGAGGAACAATACGCCAGTTTCACAGCCTAGAGCAAGAAGAGACTTTCAGATCTGGAGTAGAGAATTCAAGCAGAGGAGTAGATGAGACTGGCGGGTAGGGCGACATTAAACATGCATAAAGACTATACCCTGTTTCAAAGCTTCCAGAACCATTTGGAGGTACTTTTTGAACATATAGATTCTATCATGGACTTTTAAAGTCAGAATTTCTAGAGGAGGAGACTTAGGAATAGGGCTTTTGTGATGATTCTGATGTTCTGCTGGATGTGAGAGCCACTGGTTTACCTGACTGGCATATAATGATGACTCTCAAAGACTCAAAGAGACCTGTCATCAATAATGACCACTTTGCTTTGCTCTCCTGATATTTT